CGGTGCCGCGCGGCCGGCGGGGACCCAGCGCCCTGCGCCTGGAGCTGGGCACTGCCGCCGAGGGCGAGTACGAGTGCTGGGCGAGCAGCCCCCTGGGCAGCGCCCGCGCCGCCCTGGCGCTGCGCCCGCCGCGTGAGTGCGCCCGTGGGGACAGCGCTGCGTCGCGGATGATGGGGCTTGGGGGACTTGGGGGGCTGATGGGGTCCAGGTGTTTCATGGGGCTCATGGGACTCTGGGGTCTATGGGGGCTTGTGGGGATCAAGGATGTCATGGGGTCTGTGGGAGTCAGGAGTCTGGGGGACTCGTGGGGCCCATGGGAATCAGGGATTCCATAGGACTCACAGGACTCTGGGGTCTATGGGGGCTCGTGGGGACCAAGAATCTCATGGGGTCTGTGGGACTCAGGGGTCTAGGGGGCTCATGGGACCCATGGGAATCAGGGCTTTCATGGAGCCCATGGGACTCAAGGGTCTTGGGGGTCATGGGGCCCATGGGAATCAGGGATTCCATGGGATCTAGGGGACTCAGGCGTCTATGGGGTTCATGATACCCATGGGAATCAGGGATTTCATGGGATCCAGGGGACTCGGGGGTCTAGTGGACTCATGGGACCCATGGGAATTAGGGGTTTCATGGGATCCACCGGATTCAGGGATCTTGGGGGTCTTGGGTGGTTCGTGGGGTTCAGGGGTTTTGTGAGGACTGTGGGACTCAGGAGTCCTGGGGAGCTCATGGGGCTCAGGAGGGTTCAATATTCTTGGGGAGTCCATGGGTCTGGTGGGGTTTGGGGTGCCCTTGGGAGACTTGGGAGAGCATGTGAGTCTTGAGGTTTTGGGGGGCTTAGGGAGTTTATGGAGCTCAGGGGAGTGGGAGGGTTGGGGAGCTGGAAGGGTTTGAGGAGCTGGGGGGTTCTTGGAGGTTTGGTGGGGCTTGGAGGCCTCAGAGATCCTGAGGCTCATGGGACTTGGGGGGCTCATTGGTTTGGGGAGCTGGTGGGACTTGAGAATCTCATGGATCTTTGGGGGCTTTGGTGGGGTCTGTGGACTTTAGGGGGCTCATGGGTTTTGGGGTGTTCATAAATACTTTTCTGAGGATCTCATGGGTTTGGGGGATATCTTGTGTTTGGGAGGGTTTGGGATATCTCAGGGGGTTGGAGGACTCATGAATCTTGTATTCTGGGGGGTTTCATAAGTTTTAGGGGGCCTTGTGAGTTTTATGGGACTCCTGGTTGTTGGAGGGTTTATGGGATTTGGAGCATCTCAGGGGCACTGAGGGTACTCATGGCTATCGTATTTTTGGTTATCTTGTGGGTTTTGGGGGGTTCTCATGGTTTCTGGGAGCTGTGGGCCTCATGGCTTTGGGGGTGTTGCGAGTTTTGGGGATCTCGTGGCTTTCGCGGGCGCCTCGCGGGGGTCCCGCTGAGCGCAGCCCGGTGCAGCCCTGCCCTCCCGCAGCCGTGCGCGTGGTGGTGCGGCCGGCGGCCGAGGTGCCCGAGGGCACGGCGGTGACGCTGAGCTGCGAGGCGCCCGGCGCCGCCCCGGCCACCCTCTACACCTGGTACAAGAACACGCGGTGGGTGACGCAGGGCCCCGGCGCCGCGCTCGCCCTGCGCCGCGTCTCGCCCGCCGACGCCGGCGCCTACTCCTGCGAGGCCGGCACGGGCACCGGCGCCCGCCGCGCGCCGCCCACCGCCCTGCGCGTGCTCTGTAAGCTGGGACCATGAGCGGGGTGCGGGTTGGGGGCTGCTGGGGGGGTCCCCAAAATGCTCCGGTTGCAGTGGGTCTGGGATGTGGCGAGGGGACGTCGGTGTCATCTGCTACCTGCTGGCCCTGTCCCCATGGATGTCTGGGGCGGGGGCTCAGGGGCTCCCAGCACCCCCAGGCCATGGTGGGGTGCACTTGGGGATACAGTGGTGGGATGCAGCAATGAGATGCAGCGGTGGGATGCAGCGATGGGATACAGTGGTGAGATGCAGTGGTGGGATGCAGTTTGGGATGCCGTGGTGGGATGCACTTTGGGATACAGTGGTGGGATGCAGTGGTGGGATGCAGTGGTGGGGTGCTGTGGCTGCCATGGGATACAGTGGTGGGATGCAGTTTGGGATGCAGTTTGGGATACAGTGGTGGGATGCTGTGGTGCTTTGCAGCTATGGCATGCTGTGGCAGGGTGCAATGGTAAAATGCAGCAGTGGGATACAGTGGAGGAATGCAGCGGCTGGTGCACTTATGGGATGTGGGTGGGATGTATCAGTGGGATACAGGACCAGGATGCAGAGATGGGATTCTGCCATGGAATGCAGTGGCGGGCAGCAGCAGTGGGATGTGTTCGCAGGATGCAGTGGTGGAGCGCAGTGCTCTCAGGGTGATGCTGCAGCCCTGGCTCTGTTGCACTGGCGCTCAGGGCTGCTCAGGTGCTGGCATCCCCCGGCGCTTGGGTTGCACCTCCAGCTCCAGCTGGGAATGAGAATCCCCCAGCGTGGCAATCTCCACGCCCGCCCCGCCGCCCCCGGCCTCTCTGAGGAGGTGCCCGCTGCTTTTGCCCTTGCAGACGCTCCCCGCGACGTGTCGCTCACGGCGCTGGTGGAGAGCCCGGGCGGGCGGCGCGCGGTGCTGCTCTGCACGGCCGACAGCCACCCGCCCGCGGAGCTGTCCCTGCGGCGCGGCGCCGAGGAGGCCCCCGTGGCCACGGCGCAGGGCGCCCGGCACCCGCGCCTGGCCGTGCAGGCAGCACCCAACACACTGCGCGTGGAGCTGCGCGCGCTGGCGCCCGACGACGCGGGCACCTACGCATGCACGGCGAGCAACAGCCGCGGCGCCGCCACCGCCACGGCGCGCCTGGACGTGCAGCGTGAGTGAGCGAGCCCCGAGGGACGGGGCGGCGCGGTGCGGCGCCTGCAGCCCGCGCCCTCCTCTCCTCCGCAGCCGTGCGGGTGACGGTGGAGCCCTCCGAGGAGGTGGCCGAGGGCGCCGCGGTGACGCTGCGCTGCCGCGTGGCCGCGTGGCTCGGCGCCGCGGCCAACGTCACCTGGTACAAGGACGGCCGGTGGCTGCGCGACGGCCCCGACGACACCCTGCTGCTGCCGCCCGTCTCCAGCGCCGACGCCGGCTCCTACCGCTGCCGCGCCAGCGGGACGGGCGGCGCCGCGGCCTCCGTGCCCGCCAGCCTCAGCGTCACTTGTGAGTGCCGCGGGCTCCCAACGCATCCCCCTCGCTACCCATCCCTCTTCTTCCTCACCCTTTACTGCCTCTCCCCCTCCTCCCTTTCTATCCTCTTCTTCCTCCCCCTCCTCTCTTTTCCTCCCCCTCTTCTTCCTCCCCTTTTCCTCCATATTCTTTCTCTCCGTATTCTTTTTCCTTCCTCCTTTCCACCCTCTTTTTCCGCCCTCTTCCCCCTTCTTCCTTCCCTCCTCCATCCCCTTCTTCCTCTCACCTCCTCCTTCCCCTTCCTCCCTCTCCTGCCTCCCCACTTCATCCCCTTCTTCCCCAACCTTTCTCCCCTCTTTTCCCTTCTTCCTCCCACTTCCCCACTCTTCCTCCTCCTCCTCCTAGTTATTCCTCCCCCTCCCAATTCTTGCTGCACTTTTCCTCCCACACTTCTTCTTCCTCTCCCCTTTCCACCCTTTTTCCTCCTCCCCATCTTCCTTCCCCCATCCCTTCTTCCTGCCTCTTCCTCCCTCTGCTTCCTCCCCCACTCCAGCCCCTTCTTCCTCCCCTTTTCCTCCACGTTCTTCCTCCCCCTTTCCTGCCCCATCAGACACCCAGGCTGATGGGGTCTTGCATTCCTGCCGCTCAGAGCCCCCCAGCCAGCCCCACACTCGCAGCCAAGCCTCTCTGAGGCCGAAGGCCGGGGCAGGGTGGTGGTGGGGGACACGAGGGGACACGAGGGACACGAGGCGACACAATCCCGCCGTGCCCGCAGACGCGCCGCGGGACGTGTCCGTGCGCACGTTCGTGGAGAGCGGCGGGGAGC